AATAGATCTACTAGACATGGCAATTTAAATTTAGTGTGTCCCAAATACCTAAGAAATAACGATGGTGGCAAGGCATTCAGTGTTGACGCAGTTAAGTTATGGAACAGCCTTCCCCATGATATCAAAAATAAGCCTAGTGTAAAACTATTCAAAACAGCTGTGAAAAAGCATCTTATAAGCTCATATAAAAACCTAGACAACTTTGAAACAATATTAAGCAATAGTACATTATCTAATTTTAATTTTTTATAAATTAATTTTATCTTTCTCAATATTTTTAATCTATCCTGCTATTTCTATTATAGAATTTTGTAATTATTTATATATTTATTTATTTACCAGTTTTTTTGTAATGTTGTATAATCTAGTTAGTGGGCCACAGGTTTGTCAGCTATACAGCTGTTACGTGTTCCCCTCTATAAATAAAGTCGTTACTTACTTTAGTTACTAATTTGTAGCATCAATATAGAACAAACTGAGATTTTAGTTGTGAAGACCATTCCTTGCTTGGTTTTACCTTGACAATGATTTTATGTAGGTTTGCAAAAGAACAGAATTTCACCCTTCAGCAAATATCTGCATTTTTCACTCTTTTGAAGGAAATGCTAGACAATGTTAAAGGTAGTAATCTCTTATGATTGATACCAGAGGACGCCCTTGGCAGCAATTTAACCAGTTGTTTTACCAATTAGTCGTAACAATTATTTCATTGAAGACTTCCTTTTTTTTTTTTTCTTTTCAGAAAAACAATTTTCATTGGTTGACAGTATACAAAAGTTCAAGTCACTTCTCGCAGGGATTGGAGTTGAAAACTGTGCACTTAATGGAGGCCTGGAATGTTTTGATGTGAATCTGGCAAAGCTTATAACAGATTACTTTACTGATAGGTAAATTTTGCATTATATTTGATTTCTTAAAGATTATATGCTTCTTTTCAAATGAGTGGGACCAATTTTAGGCAGAAATAGGGATCGTTATTGATTTAATGTTAATGATAATGATGATGAGTGTGACAACAAGTAACCAAGGATTGCACTCTAGGAAGGCAAGGTGATGGTGACTTGCGAGCTGTCATTATTTTCGATATAAAGAACTGAAACATTAAATTTTTGGCAGTTTAATTGTAATGGGGATAGTCTAAAGGTTTATCCTCTTTCATGATGTTTTTGGTCATTCAAGATGATGGTGTCCAGTATAATGGAGGTGTTTTTATAATAAGGATATTACTCAGGAACTTGTACTGGTTTTAGACTCTTAATGTGATTGAATCAAATTAAATATTTTTTTCCTTTAATTTGTAGTTTGTTCCAGCATTACAAGTTGTACCAGTTTCTTTTCACTCGGGAGCCACAAGAAGTTGTCATATCTGAGGTTTGTACTCGATTATTTGTGAATTATTTTTCAGTTAAAAATTGTTTTGTTAAAGTGCAGTGCATTTACATTTTCAATCACTTTTCTAGGATTAAGGGAAAAAAATCAGTGGCAATCCCATATTTTTTATGTTTTTATCCATTGCGCTAACCGCCTCCCGGTTAGCTCAATGGATAGAGCGCTGGACTGTTGTGCGGGAGGTCGAGGGTTCGAGCCCCGGCCGGACCAACACTCAAGGTCTTAAAATAATTGAGAAGAATATGCTTCCTTTCTATAACATCAAGAAATGGTTAGATATTCTAGTCTTCTCGGATAGGGATGAATAAATGGAGGTCCCGTCTCCTACATGGTTAGGGGTAGGAGACGTTAATTTCCCACGCACGAGATTACTGTGTGATGGATGTCCTCCCTGGGGTGAGATGAGTGGGTTAGGATTGATTGTAAAGCGCTGTTGATCTGCCATTGTAAATAGCGCTCTATAAGCGATAAATTGTAATTGTAATTGTAATTTTACACAGTTGGAAGTTGAAGTTCCCCCCAACTGGCTAGCATTCCATTTCCACCACCATTAGATGAAGGAATGACTGAGGAAATGTGAAGAGAGCATGTGATGACACCACCACAGTCACCCCAACCAGAGGAGCAGAAAGAAGTAACCATTACCATAGCTTAAAATACACAAAATGGGTTCTTGTTTGCTTCCGCTTTTTTTGCACCTTTGTATCTCACACTTAGAGTTTTTTTCATTGAATCTTCCACAATGGACATGACGTGTTACTCAATTCCAAAATTTCCAACCTTTCTTTGTGAGTTGATTTTTACATTTCAGCATTGATATCCAAGCACAACTATAAGATCATGAAAAATTACAAATTTCAACAGATTAGGCTTTTATATACGTTGATGACTAACAATTTTGATGTATGGCTACCTAATCCTAACTTTGTGTTTGTAGGGAGAAATAGACCTAGCAGGAGAAGAAGGTAGATAGAATTCTTGTTCTTGGAAACTGCATAATATACCTTGTCACTCTGGTGTACATGTACTCTTGAAGTCCCTAAATAATCATGCCTGAGCTAATACACCTTTTCTTGAGAAAGTTGAAAAAACTTATTTTTATCCCATTCGTTAATTTAAGTTTTTTGTTGTTGCAGTCCTGCTGTTATACTTACATGTCATGGTTAAGTTATTTTTGTTTGAATTGTTTTTAGCCCTATCAGATAATCTCTCTCACATTAAGGATCAAGCTGCAGAGAACATTTTATCATCTCTAGAACCTGCACAAGTCAAGGATATTGTGAGGAAAGTAGCTGATAAAGTGTTGGGTAATCTTCAGGTGGTTATTGTAAAACTACTACACTCAGACTTGAACAATAGAACTTGTAAAGGATTTAATTGACAAAGTAGTTTCCACACCTTGACAAGACAAGACAAAACTCTCACAATGTCTTTTTTTCATAAGGGAAATAATAGTAGCTATTGACACTGAACAACATTACTTCTGTGGTGATAACAGAGAGCATTCATGTTTGTGCATTTTTGTGTTCTTTCCTCTGTTTTAAGCTTAGTTTGAAATTAAGTGAACAGAGTATCATCTGTAAAGTCTGTACTCAAGCCAAGTAACCCCCCCTCCCCTGCTTATCCTGGTTTCCATATCATGAAGCGACTAGGAGTATTAGCACTCCCCCCTGGATGGAATACCAGTCTGTCACATTTCAACAGGTTTCCCTGACAATTTGCTGGGTACCCATGTATACCCCTGGGTGAAGAGAGGCACTGTTAGAGTAAAGAGTTTTGCTCAAGGACACAACACCCTGACCTGACCAGATCTCAAACCCAGACCTTTGGACCTGGAGTCCAGTGCACTAATCATTAGGCCACAAATGCACAGGAGTACAAGTCTGAAAATGTCAAAATCCAGTCACCTTACAAGAAATCTATCAAGCTTCCTCTACAATGTTCTTAATCAGTTCATTTTTTCCTTTGTTATTTAAGGCTGAAGTTGAAGCTCGGCTCAAGGAAAGAGAAACAGTGTTAGCTGCCAAGATTGGAAAGCTGCAACCAAGATAGCACAATAAACAACATATTAAGAACTTTGAAATCTGTAAATATCACAAGAAGACAGCCTCTAAATTCATTTCTCAATATGTTATAAACCAATCAACTAATAGTTGGGCACTAAATTCAACTGCATTTCTAGAGATAAACCACTCTTCTCAGTAACAATTGTATATACTAGCTAAACCTGACAGAAGGAACTTTAAAAACCATAGAATGCCAAAAAAAATGTAAATAAATGAAACACTGACATAATAAACATTTGGAGCCTTTGTCTAACAAACTTTGATAAAACTTGCTTACATGAAGTTTCTTTCAAATTCACCAGGTATGGAATGTAAAAATAATTAACTGTACAACCAGTTGGTTTATGTGGGAGACAGGGGCAAATTGGGAATTGTACCCAGGCTCAAAAGTGTTTAAGGGCCGGCAGATTATTCCTGGAGTTTTCTTAAGCTTTTGTACGTTACTTGTCAAAGCAAACTAGCCTAGTAGCTTTTTCAAGAGTCCAGAAATAATTCTTCAAAGGGTTGTTTTTCTACAAAATTTATAGATTCCATTCTTATATTTTACAGTCACATATGCCAATCAAAAGTCACAAGATCAGAAGAAAAACTGACAGACCTAACCCTTCTGAATGAGACTGCAATAAGCTTTCAACTTAACCCTGATTTGTTTTCAAAATATGAAGCTAGCCCATTCCATTTGCTTCTGAGCAAAACTCCACTGAAAATATATTCATGGTGTATAATTATTGAATCTTTCAAGCTATTTATCATAAAGATCTTACTGAGAATATTTCTGTCCGGAGCACTAGTTAGTTTCTAAAATATTGAAGTCGATTATTTCCAAACTCTGCAACGACAATGTCACCATTTCTTAGGACTGCCAAGCCAGTTGGCTTATTTAGCTGCCCCAATTCATCTCCATAGCATCCAAACTTTGTAAGAAATCTCCCATCTTCAGTAAAAACTTGCACTCTGTGGTTGTAGTCATCACAAACTAAGAGATTTCCTGCTTTGTCTATTTCTAGTCCTGTTGGGGAATTAAACTGGCCATTCTCAGATCCCTGTTCACCAAATTCAAATAAGAACTCTCCAGTGTTGTTGAAAACTTTGATACAATGGCCTGTAAAATCAGACACATATACTTTGTTTTCATAGTGAATGCAGTCAAATGGTAATTGAAGTCCACAAGCCCTCCCATCATAAGTTAAGAGAATGTCCCCTTCCAAGGAAATCAGTTGAACACAACTTTTTCCTGAATTACAGATAATAATATTTCCCTCAGGATCCAGTGATATTCCACGTGGTTGATTCAGTTCTTCCTCTACCTCGATCTCTTCAATGAATTTACCTTTTGAACTAAACAGAAATATACTGTTGTATGTCCTGTCTGCAACATAGATCCTTCTTGAAGTATCAGTGCAGATCCCACAAGGAGTAGACAGTACATCATGTCCAAAGGATCTTGAAGACATCTCATGTTCTCTCAAAACCTGCACTTTTTTATTATTTAAGTCGGTGACATAAATGTCACCTGAGGCATTTACAGCAACTCCCCATGGATTGTAAAAGTCTGCACAGCACTCTCCTACAGATGTATAATTTCTCCCCATTACATCAAGGAATAAAGACTGCTTCATTTGTTCTCCATTTACCGTGAACTGAGCCCTCACCCTCCCTAACAAATTACTGTAAAAGGAAATTATATACTTTCCATTCTTCTCATCTCTTGTCTGCCAAATAAATTTAGATGAACAACATCTTTCCACAAGAGAAAAGTTTGAGGAAATCTTGTCATTTGAGCTGTAACATTGTTCCCCTCTTGAATTCCTAGTAACAATTTCAATCTTTGTCTCTCCACCAACCATAGCCATGCGTTTTCCAGTTACAGTGCACTCACTTGCCACAGTTGGGCTACATGAAAGAGTGCCCAATGCTGCACTTCCAAGGTCATCAATTTTTTCAAGAAAAGAGTGGTTTGGAATGAAGTCTAAAATGAAACTTTCCTCACCTTTACTTCTAAATGGAGGTTCATTCTTCAAATCCTGAAGGGACTCACTGACATGGGATTGCAACAACACAACTTCTGCAGCAGTACTTCTGTTAACCAAGTGCTCGATTTGTGATATGGTTTCTTCATATTTGGTTAACTGTGCCTGATATGTTGTACTTCTTTCCAACAGTTGCTCGTGGGCTACCTTTCCCTCATCTTCAACTTGTAAAGTGAGTTTTTGCTCCAACTGTTGAAGTTTAACAATAACTGATTGTGTGGTATTTCTTATTTTTTCTACGGTGGCCTTAGTGCAATTTTCTATTTTTTTTATCTCTTCTTCGAGGTATGTGTGAGTCTTATCCGCACTTTTAGCCGAGTCTAGTTGAATCATGATGTTCTCCTTCGCAGCTTTCGCCGTTATGTCCAAATGTTCAACAATATGGCCGACATGCTCGACAATGACACAAGTTTGACAAACTGGGACATTGCACTTTTTACAGAAAAATTTCAAGACTTGCTTCTCGTGGAGTTCCTTGGAGCAAAATGCCGGTCGTTTAAGAACATCTTCAAAGTCTTTTTCTTTGAAATCCTTTAACGGAAGCACCCGGTGATCCTTGTTTGCACGAATAATATTGTGGCCACGTAGACAAACACTGCACCAAAACTCGCCACAGTGAAAGCAATAAGACACCTCTTCATTTTTTTCGCCACAGTTACCACATGTCACTTTAGAGGTACTGCACTTTTTGATGGCCAAAATATCCAGAAGATTTTTTAGATAAAAACAGTCTGGTAAAGACTCCATTGTACCACAATCAGGCACGATTACTTCACGTTGGCAAAGAGGACATCTTATTGTGCCATTTCGTTTGCTTGTTCGAGCAACATTATTAAGACATTGTAGGCAAAATGTATGTAAGCAAGGAAGCTGTTTAGGATCTGTATATAACTGCATACATACAGAACAAGTGACTTCTTCCTTTAGGTTATGCATCAACGTTGGTACATCCATAATCACTACGATTTTACTCTAGTGTGAAGGTTTGAGCCAGAAGTGAAAGAAGAACTGCGTGCCACATCAACTAAGACTGGGGCCGAAGGCTCCATATTTGGTTACTGCATAGAGGTACCTGCAGCAGTCAACATGGTCAACACAACAGACTTTGTCATGTGGTGTATTATTTTAAACGTTTTCCTCGTTTTTCGCGTTTCTAATGTTACAGGTCACGTCATCTGTGAAGATAGTAAATCAATCTTTCATTGTCGTGAACTTTAATTACCTCTTTCGTGCCGAGTCATTCCGCAAAATATGATGAAATGAGAAATAACACGGAATTACTGAGCAGCGATAGAAGGGCTTTATTTCTTGGGATGACTGAAAGGTTTTGAGGCATGGTTCTAAATTTATCCTGATCCATCTAAAGAGGTCTCTGGATTTAGACGATAGAAACGTATCGCGTGTATCGTGAAAGACGCATGTACAACTTATTGTTCTAAATACCTTGGTTACTCCCTGTGAGCACTTATCAGTTATCTCTGGACATCAGCTGTACAGCTGCATGTAAAAATGGAATTAACCGAGATTAGCAGTACGTTCTTTTCGCAGTGGGTAGAGAGTTCTTCTTCAGATACAAAACTGCATAGAGAGGACTCAAAAACCTCTAAAGGATCCAGGAAAATATCAAGATCGAGAAAAACATCTAGACAAGATTCGAGAACTTCTGTCTCCAAACTCTACTTACCAAAGGCAAAATATTCTGAAGGTGAATTTAAAGAAGCCTTACAAATATGGATACAGCATCCAGAACACGAGGAAACCATGCAGTTGAAGAAATTAGTTAGACAAGGTGTCCTTCCCAAACTTAGATCTGAGCTGTGGAAGGATTCTAGCGGTGGAGCTGACATCATTTTCAACTCTCCTCACTATTATGAAGAAATGATCGATGACATGGGTAAGCTATTAGTTATTTTTATTATTAAGTCTCAAAACTACTGTGTTACAGTAAAAATGAATGATTATGAGCAGGGTCAATGAACAGAACCAACAGTAACTAAAGACGCAAGTTTGAAGTCACAATGGAAAATGTAATTTTTGCACTCAAGCTGGCACCCTACATGTAGATAAGATGGGGCTTTCTGAAGATTTTTAGATGTTTTTCTGGACACCTTCAAAGGGGGGGGGGTATTGGGGTTTGTGGTTATGCAGTTTTGGCAATTTTTTAGAGCAGTTTTTCGGTTTTTGTCCCAAAAAACTTTGGTTTTTCGGTTTTTTGTTCATTGCATTTTGCGGATTTTCCGTTTTCAGCATTTGGTTTCTGGTTTTTCATCAAAAATTTTGTACTTGGATTTGATATCTGACATGCTTTCTCAGTTTTTCATATTGGGGCTCCGGTTTCTCTTCAATCTGAGCAGCATTTATATGCCTCTTCTGATCTTGAATTAAGCGGTGAAACCTATGTTGCTCCACTTGTAACCACAGTATCAGATTGATTAGGATTTTGACAACTGAGATGTGCAAATTTATTGGTTTAGATGGTTTTGCATGCGGTTTTCGGTTTTGATCAAATTTTTTTGCAGTTTTGTGGTTTATAATTAATAGACCCCAATGTCCCCTCCTTCAATCTTGAACATGGTCTTGTGTTGTTTTTAAATGCACTTACAAGCACTTTGTATGTCAGAACTTTAGTTGACTGACTGACAGTATTTTGATTGTTGCACTGAATGACTGATTGACTGATTGTTTGGCTGCCTGCTGGACTATCTGGTTGCATGACTGATTGACTGTCTGGCAGCCTGACTGATTGTCAAGCTGTCTGGCTGCCTGACTGACTGACTGACTGACTGACTGTCTGGCTGCATGACTGACCATCTGGCTGCCTGCCTGACTGACTGTCTGGCTACATGACTGACTGTCTGGCTGCCTGACTGACATGTATGGCTGCCCGACAGAGGGATAGAGTTGGGTCAACCTACCTTTGCAAACTTTATGTCAACCATAGTAAACATAAAAAAAGTGACATTTTATGTAGCAGCAAATGAAAGTTTATGTGAATATAAGATCAGTATCTTGAGAGTGACTGATTGATTGGTTGGTTGATGATGTAACAACTGTTTTGCAGGTATTCAAGTACCCTCCAGTATTCCTTCAACTATTTTCAGTGGAAACAGAAATGTTCCTTCATACCTATTATCACCAGATGGAGAGAAGACCTGTCTAAAACTCCTTTATATCTTGTCTCATATGCATCCAGATATCCAATATGCTCCTTTAGTTCCACCATTAACATCTCTGTTTCTTCATTTCATGGAGGAAAATCTCTGTTATACTTGTATGTCCGCTATAGTGAATTCTCATCGCTCTATGTTGGACCAAAGTCAGAGAGCATTTGCTGTGATGGCAAAGACATTCCAAGATTCTTTGAAGTCTTATTTTGTAAGTTGATGTGCCTATGGGATTTTGCTAAAAAAATTTGCACTATTCAATAATTTTTTGAATTTTGAAAATTATATGGTAAAGTTTGGCAAGATTGGTACAAATTATTTTCTTTGGTTTTTTTTTTCTGATTTCAACCCTTTGGCTCCCACGATCTCATTACTATTTCTCCTTACTGTCCACCATACAACTGTTATAATTATGTTAGTTGGGAGAACTTAGTATTTAATCAACTAATAATACCTTAATGATATTTCCTTTGTTCTCGTGACTTGTCTGGCTAATATAGTTATTGTATTGATATTGGAAAGAGAAATATAATGCTGTCTTGTTCCTTTCCTTTGCTTCAGGTACCTCTCGATAATCCTCAAACAAGAGAAAAAGCTAATTAAACTCATTTGAAATTATTTCAGTTTTAGACTACTACATAATACATTATGATTGTACCTGTTTTCATTTGTTGTTGTTTCTATGAGCACAGATGCCATCTTACAAGCAGATCAAGGAATTCATTGAAACAGCAAAGGGAGAGCAGTTGCCTAAGAACACCATTCTCATTCCTGATTGGCTTATCTGGATGTTCCATTACATCGATTTCTGGACACTGGTATGTGCAGGTTTTTGTTTTTTGTCAAAGTTTCTTTATATTGTCAATAAAAGCATATAAGTACTTTTTATTTGCCAGTACTAATTTTTTGTCTCCTTTTTAGGTTTACATTGTTGATAGTTTTGTTGTCCAAGGACCCAAAGTTTTTGTGCGTGTTGGTTTGATTGTATTCAATCAGTTTGCAAAGTTCATAGAACAGGAAGGTAATGCATGCTTTTGATAACAATGAAGCAAATTAATTAAAATATGAGGATTTTTTCAATGAGATATTTATTAGCTGTGTCTATATAATTATGATAATAATAATAATGTTTGTTTCTTATATTGCGCAGTCTAACATGCAATAAAAGAAATGATCGAATGCGCGAATGGGAGATATGATCAAATTATCACACCAATCTGTTTATTTTAAAGCAGAAGTATCAGAAAATGGAAACCTAGAGGATCTGTTTAAACAGTTTGCATCACTAATGCCTTTGAGGGGATACAAACTTCTTCAGGTTAGTTATATTGCATGGAGAAAGTGCCACTTAAGAAAACCTTCCCTTGAACTGTCCAAAATGATTCTGTTATTTCTCCACGCTTGAGTGTTTGTTTTTACTCAATTATTGTCTATTTTTTCTTCTTTTTTGTCATTTTACAGGCAGCTTTCAGAATTCGAGGTCTTTCAAGGAAACAACTAGAAAGACTGAAAAGTAAAAATATAACTTTACTTGAAAATGGATTGTTGGATGTTCCTCAACAGACCTGGACACCAGTTCAGACTCTGACAGTGTTTGTAGTTAAAGGTTCCAACTTGCTGTCGTTACAAGAGGTTAATATTGCTTTTAATTACTGAGTAACTCTTTATACCCTAAGATTGACTAGTATCTAATTTCTCTTACAGCATCACCCCTGATTCAATCTTAAAGGTCATGAAAATAAAGGGTTGAAATGGTTGCTAACTAGAGAAGCTCTTGATTGTTAAAAATTGAAAAAAAACTCTCATTGTCAGTTCCATAGGAAATACATAAAAAAGAGTGTGGAGAATATGCATAATAATGTCAGGGTGTGATCAATGCTTTCACTCCCAAGATGTGAACATCCATTCTCCTTCCGCTGTATGCCATAAATTTATTGTAATTGTAGTTCTGAGAATTTGATTTTTAACTAAGTACAGATCCGTTGACATGGTTATAAATAATTAACATTGCATCTGATTAAGATTAGGACCTCCTGAAAGTACCTTTTTTTGAAAGGGTAAAGATTTGTTATTCCTTTGACCTGTTAATCTACAGTGGGAGTTGCTGTCATCTTGGCTACCGGAAAGGTTACGCATTAAAAGACCTGTTTGCTTGTTCACTACAGACACTGATGGATGCAGGTATTGTACATTAAAAAGAAGAGTTGTACTGTTTTTTATGACACAACTCGGGCAGTCAGAGGGCCAATAACTAAAATCAACCAATCAAAATGCTCTATTGCGGGTCAATATTCTCTCAGTATTGGACCGGGCACTGTCCTGAATGGTCCTGAATGATACTGCACTTGTGTCCCTTTGAACTTCAGTTGTATAAAAAATCTCTTATTAACCAAGCTTGCTCGGCACCGTACAGGAAGAATATCAGCCCTCGGTCTTTTTTGTACGGACCTCGCTGCACTCGGTCCATACTGTCAAGACCTCGGGCCGATATTCTCCTAGTACGGCCCTCACGCTTGGTTAATAAGATGTATGTTTTATATAGGTGTCATAAGCACAGATCAACTTCTACAGAGTTCACTAAAAGTTATTTTTTGTGAATTTTTTGTGAGTTTTTTGTGAATTTTTTTTAAAATATTCCTCCTCTGATTTGGTGTTGTATTTCTGACTTGGAGTTTTCTTTTACTTTTTTTAGTATAAGAACTTTGTACAACAAGTGTGAGGGTGACGAGGAGACAGTACTTCTAGTCAAATCATCTGTTGGTGAGGTGAGATGTAAACTATTGTGTTAAAGCATCAATTGTGATCCAAGAATGCTTGTGTCTGGACCAATTTAGTTCTTCAGGCTACAGTGCCACCTGTTATGTTTTCTGATTTAGTGGCCTAAATCATATGAGACCAATTGAAAATTGAGCTTCTTACTTTTAAAATGCCATCCTGTGTAAAGGCATGCATTTGGCTTCTGTTGCAGTTCAAACTTTCTCTTCTTTCAAATTATACTTATTCTTGATTACTTTGTCTTTATCGTACCAAAGATCATTGGAGGCTTTGCCACTGCCAGCTGGAGCGAAAGAAGAGCAGGACACAGAACTCTTACATATTTTGGCACTGGGGAAAGTTTTGTTTTTCGGCTGAGTCCCAGGCCTGTTAGATATTTATGGAAAGGACTACAGAAGAAGGGCCCTGGTACCAAGGATTTGTTCATGGCTGGAGATGACAAATGTCTCATGATTGGGGGAGGGTGAGTAATGACAAATGTTATTTGACAATAGAGGGGTAAGTCAAAGTACTAAGGGCAAAGGGTAGGGCAAAAGTAGAAAAATTGTGGTGCTTGTCTGATATGCCAGACTGAGTCTTTTTTGTCTGTTTGTTATTTTAATCTTCATCCAAACTCTGTTATTTTTCAGGGGTGATAATGCCATTTGGTTGGATAATGAGCTTTGCAGGGGGCACAGTGGTCCATCTGAGACATTTGGCAATGAACAACTCACTGAGACTCAAGATTTCCTTTGTACAAGAGTTGAAGTGTTTGGTTTTTTTTCAGAAAGCTGATCACTGCTCAGCACTATGACAGCTAATTAGTATATATATAAATTTGTAGATGTCACTCATACATATTATCATTTTACTGTTATCTGTGACATGATAATTTTCAGAGTTAATCAAACTAGTATTTGCCAACAAAAACAATATTTAGTTTGATCTACTAGGTAGCTTTTGTTTCCAAAATGGAAAAACAATTATGTGAATTTTTTCGCAAACTCTTTATCAGGTAATACTCACATTAGATCCTTCTGGAGCCCTTAAAATGTTTTAAGCAAAAATCATATATTATGTTAAATTTTAATTATGACAACTATGTGGCAAATGCGGCTTTCTGTTACAGCTGTAAAATTATAGTGTAAACATGCAGTTTTATAAAGCAAGGCTTATTAAAACCCAAAGCTTGATTTTATCAATAATTGAATTTTAGAATTTTTTAATTATTTATTAGATATTATACAGTGATATCTTGAGTATCTCTCAAAGAACTTGTTTGATTAATTTATGATGTGAATGTGGAAATCAGAATTGAAATACAGCGGTATGCAAGAAATGAGATTTCCTACCAAACCATTTTATTTTACTTTAAAAAACTTGAAAATTCTATTAAGTTTTATTTGTTTGGTATAAATTTATGAAATTCATATGAGTATGCAGTATGATTAGATAGATGACTGGTTCCTCTTGGAAATTATTACTGTAACAGTACCGTTGTATGAGATATTAGTAAATTTTCTACTCCTGGGTGTGTTTAAGAAAATCTTATTGAATTGAATCAGTGTTGTTTCAGGGGTTGCTTATGTAACTGTAGATTTCAATGTTGGATTACATGTAGTCCCAAACATTGAAACTTGGTACTAGGTTCTTTTTTTAATTTTTTTTTAAAGGGGATTTAGAGGAATGTTTCGTATACATGTTCTAAAAAACTTTTGTAGGTGTTAAGCATTTAACTGTATCATTTTCAGCTGAAATGAATTAAAACCACGTTCATTTCCATTTGAATTGATGGTTTATATTTAATGAGAAAAAAAGTTGAACAGTCTGTTACTTACCATATCCCCGGCGCGGAGAGCATTCTTACAGGCTGGCAAAACCCAACACACCTGACGCGTTTTGTTGAAAGGGTACGCAGCGACTTCAGTCCATAGTCAATATATTGAGCTGACTGCTTGAATTGTAATTCATTTTTAGCAAATTCTGCAAAACCACTCCGACTTTGCGATAATAGTGAACAAAACTTTTAGAGATTATCTTTTGTTCGCCAAACTATTGCAGCGTCTCTGAAATTCTCTTCTGAGTAGCTCTTTTCAACTGGCCGATTGAAGAGCTTCCAGAATACAACTTGACAAAGCCAATTGAGTGAATAGCTAAGAAGGTTACCTGAGGGATTTCTCAAGTTATTCTCCTTTGTCATGTTCCGTGCAGGACTGAAGCAGATGAAGATTGTTTAGAGAACCTCTTAATTTCGAGTGCTAGACGCTATCACTATAGGTCATCCTTAAAAAATACACTGATCAGAAACACCTTTCAGAAACCACTCACGGTGGATCAGACTTCACTCTAAAAGGATTAATCTCTGAGGTAACTTTGTTCGCTATGACTGATGGGTTCGTCTTCATTTTATCTCCAAAGATGGAGAGAGCTTAATTAAGACTTAAATTTGCTAGAGAAGGCGGACAAGGCACTCTACAAAAAAAGATCGAATGACCCCGAATGCCCATTTTCCCAATTTTTACCTAAGGAAAAGAACATGAGGTACAATCTTAGAAATACGTCAGTCTCTGTCCCTTGAATCCACACTGAAAGGTTTAAGAACGTTTTTAGTAGTAGGATAATTTTTAAATATGACATGTAATAGTTTCCCTTGCAAGTTTATGTTGTAACTTAGGATGTGTGATTTTGTCTTACGAAATAAAGATTATGTTATACGTATGATGCACGATCCTCGCAGTAGATAGCGCTATTTAAGCAATAGCGAAAATCAGACCTGAAAAAAATCAGGCCTGTACGGGATTCGAACCACTGACCTCTGCGATACTAGTGCAGCGCTCTACCAATTGAGCTAACAAGCCAACTGGGAGCAGGCCGTTAAGTTGATTCGTAATAAACCCGTGAAAGTGATAAATCAGATACAATGAAATATATGAAGTTCATATATTTTGAACTGCGGTATTAGATACGTATGATGCACGATCCTCGCAGTAGATAGCGCTATTTAAGCAATAGCGAAAATCAGACCTGAAAAAAATCAGGCCTGTANATGGGATTTTCTACAAGATAGCCTTAGAGATAGTTAAAAGTGAAAATATTAAATAAAAATGGCTTACCTTATTCCATACGTGTGTTGCTTGCTCCTGGTGTCGTTATTTTACCGATTTCACTTGATTTCTTAAAGAAAAAACCAGGATTAAAAAAAACCGCTTAAATCAAGTGAAATCGGTGAAATAACGACACCAGGAGCAAGCAATACACGTATGGAATAAGGTAAGTCATTTTTATTTAATATTTTCACTTTTAACTATCTCTATCGATATCTTGTAGAAAATCCCAAACAAATCCTTATATATCGATATGCAAATTGTGTTCTTTGTGTGGTTCTCAAAGAGAGCTTGGGCCGCCTGTGATCAGAAGAAAGGGGACTGGCGCGAGACAAAAACAAACCAACTGTCTGGAGGGGACTAAAACACCTGAGAACAAGTTGCGATTGAGTCTAGTTTTGAATCTGATTGGTGTAGATGGTGGTATGACTTTAAAAGGCCAATCACGGGGCGTCGTAAGATTATCTAAGCCCTTACAAGTAGAAATATTAAAGAACTTTGACCTTTCAGTTCTAGGTACGTTTTCCCCTGTGCTGAGTGTATGGCTTCGGTCGATTTCTAACGAATGTAGTTCTCATCACGTGATCGCGCCTGCTGGAGTCCTCTCGATTTCTTCCTGATCGGCTGGAGCTTGCATAATTTTGGTAATCATAGTGGCCCCTATCATAACCACGAAAATTATTGGAATAATAATAACCATCACCGTAATTATTATAATTCCTTTCGGAATAATTACGATGATCACGTTCAGGATTATGATAAGTTCTATCATAATTATCATGGCGATTATAATTATCACGATTATCTTCCCCGTGTCGTTCGTTTCTAAACCTCCTTTCCGAGTAATGTCTACGTTGGGCTGGGTTGCTTGTGGGTGGTTGATAACGATTCACGTGTTGATCATGATAACGTGATCTGAAATCGCCACCATTCGTATTTCCCCTGATGTAGTTAGATCTCCAGTTTGCTTTGTCCTCTTCAAATGCGTCGTGCTTCGTAGAATACCTTGACTTGGTATGAAGATGTCTTGGTCTGTCAAATGGAATTTCGTCCCGTTTTCGGTTATCCCCAATACAAACGTAAGATGGGAAATCGCTGTTGAAAGTAACAAAACTTTATACAATTGAAAACGGTATTTTTGAAGTGGTATACCAACGATTAGTTAGAGACGTGCACTTAACTTAGCTTCGTCAGACTGCGTAAAAAAAAGTAAAATAGTTTACTCACAACTTGGTATTTTTTTTGCGAAGATCCTCCAAGTAATTTTCACGCTCCATATCATGTCCTCTAGCTTTATTGAATGCTGGAAAAGGAATTAAGACCAAGAAGAAGTGTTACTTTAGATTCCCTGATCACGACATTAGGTCTCCACAGGTTGGAAATAAGAAGCAAGTTATCAGATCACTTTTGGAAAAAATCTGGTCAAAGATTACGGCTTTGACCTCAAGGCTTATTTTACCTTTGATTGCATCTTCATGGGTGTATCCTCTGCATTCAATAAGATATCTACAATGAGAAAAGTGAATTAAAAAAAGTCAA